ATCAAATATAAGCAATGACTAAAATAATAGCATTTGATAGATGGTTAACACTTATAAACCAATTATATCACATTTCATTTTACTTTACTCATCAACTTATTCCATAAATGTGGCTCAGAACCTGGCCAGATAATTTAAATGAGGTTACATCTCATATTAATAGTACATCCATTTCAATTGGGATAACAACTCATAGTAAACACTTCTTATTTCACAATAGATACACATAATTGTTGTATCAACCTCAAACAAAACACTTCCATACTTCATATATGATATACAGATTTGCTATATCAATACTTCAATAGATACACATATTTACTGTATCAATGGAGTGCATCCCCTATCTCCTCCCAAACAATGTCCGGTTTAGGAGTCCATCCCCTATCTTCCCCTAAACCGTGGAGTACATCCCCTTTCTCCTCCCACACAACACAATGTATATAAACACATATCATATACAAGGTCAATCAATACATAAATTTGATGTATTATTCCAACTGTCACATTCGATGACATATTCAATGTGATTAGTTTCGGTTTTCCCTAATCAACATGTAGTGTCTACAACAATCAAGACTATCCTCCACCGATAGCTCAAAGTAGATATTTCTAAACAGAACATAAATGCAACAACAGATATAATATCAACATTTTCAATAGGTGAGTGATAAACTAATCCAACTACACCATTCAATCTCATAATGTCCAAATTTCATTATTCTCAATTCAATTTCACATTTTCCCAAATTAATTATACAAATTAATTATTCATTACAATTAGGGCATTTTTTCCATTTTTCCAATAATAGCCCCAAAGCTCATTTTTCACCCATAACCCATAAACAACCTCCATTTCAAGTCTACAACACAAATATGACTCAAATATAGAAAATCCCTCTTTTAGAAATTACAAAACAAACCCTAACTTTCTCAATATTACCCAACATTATCAACTAATCCAAATGACCAAAATTAAAGACAAAACTCATAAGATGGAGTAGGTTATCCCTACCTTGAAATGAAGAGCTCAAATGGAGAAGATGACCAAAACCCGAAGTGCTCCAAATCTGAGATTTTTCAGATTAAAACGAAGCCCAAGCCACCCTCTTTCTTTCTTACAAAGGACTTAAGGTAGAAACACACCTAAACTAGATGAATCCCTAGAGAGAGAGTATGTAGAGAGAGAGAGAGCTCGGATCTAGGGTTTGCAAAACAAAAGAGATGAAAAAGTGAAGTGTTTACCCGCTGCTGCCTACTGATATAACACAGGCTCGCTCGAGCGAAGGATTGGTCACTCGAGCGACTAGACACAAGGAACTCTCGCTCAAGCGTAGAAAGCCTCGCTCGAGCCAAGAATTCGAAGCTTCAAGTCTGCAACCCAGAAGCACGCTCGAACGACAGAATGCTCGCTCGAGCGACGAAACCCAAAACATACACCTCGCTCACTCGAGCGAAGGAAAGCTCGCTCGAGCCAAGAAACACAACTCTCAGGTCCAGAATCAGACGCAAACGCAAGCTCGAGCGAAGGACTTCTCGCTCGAGCCACCAGATACAAAACTCAACTCTCGCTCGAGCGAAGGATCTAAAACGCAAAGCTCGCTCGAGCGACAAAGTCCTCGTACGAGCGAAGACACCAAAAACTAGGCAGCAACCATTTGCTCCCAATCACACCAAACCTATAACAAACCTGCCCAACACATCCTATAACTCAAAAATAAGGAATCAAATGATGACATCAAGATATATATAACAACAAGCTCCACGAAACCTAAGTCCGGATACAACAACCAAATGGGGAAAGACTGGGGTCGCTATATCACATCACTCATATTATGAAGCTGTAAATTTTTTCAGTTTCAAGCAACATATTTCGACACTTAACCCACATTACTCACAGTACAACTCATCTTATGAAACTGACTAATTTTACAGTATTACTCATATATGCCACATTGTTCCAATGCAGGTTAACCAAAGTGCTTTAACCCCAACTGAATAAGAAATACAGTTATTGCATATCAATCAAATCACATCAACAAACTCTTCAGCAAAGAAACATGACCACAAAAAGGACAATAAGCGAAAAAAGAAAACAAAAGTAACAAACAAAAAAAGACTTCTAGACAGTGATGAGGATGACTTTCTCAAAAAAGAACATCAATCAGAATCAGAATCAAAATTAGAACAAGAAGAAAAACAAAAAAACAAAAAAAGAAAGCAAAAACCACAAGAAGAACCAGAAAGTGATGAACAAGAAGAAGAGAGTGATGAAGAAAAAAAACAAGTGACTGATGAAGAAGAAACTGAAGAAGAAGAAGAAGAAGAAGAAGAAGAAGAAGAACCTGATGAACAATAAGACAACGATGAAACAGAAGAAAGACATGAAGCAAAAGGTGATCAACCAGAAGACACTGATGAAGAAGAAGACCAACAACAAGAACAAGAAGAACAACAAACAAACCAACAACAAGAAGTCAAAGAACAAAAACTGACAAACCAACAAGAAGTACTCCAAGAGAAATCTGACATATTTCATGCACAAGGTAAACTATTGTCTAATACTAAAGCAAACTACAAAATTTAATTAAACTAACCAAAACACAATCCAACATTTTTATAGGTCATAACCAACCACAAACACCAACCAAAGATGACGACAAGGACAAGCTCATATCAGCCATGAGAGCACAAATGCAAGATATGGAACCAAAATTCATGGCTGAATCGCGTAAAAAAGAAGATCAATTGAAGGAAATGTCCACCAAAAAAACTGGTAGTCCCCAACAAAGATCAATGGTGAAGAGAATCAAACAAGAGTCAAGAAAACAAGCACATGACCCAGATTTTGAATACCAACCAATGACAAAAGCCAAAGAAGATACAAGGAACAAGACACAAACTGCTGCTGATGTACCCAAACCAACAGAGGGTACCGATGAAGAAAAATAGAAGAAGAATGAAAAGAAAAAAGAAGAAATCGAAACAGAGACAGAACCTGCTACTAAACCCGAGAAAAAAGAGGGTGCTCATGAAGCAAAACAACAGCAGAAAGAAAAGATGAAAGAAGATATTAGCCAAGAGAAAGCAGTTGTGCTGAAACCAACCCAAAAGAGCATGCCAATCAAGAGAAGACGCAACTTCAAGTATTGGAAAGTGATGATGATTTCAAGGAAGAATCAATCCAAAACAAGCCACTCGCCATTTCTTGCCGCAAAACAAACAAGGTTTGGCATAGCTTATCCAAAAAAGACCAAGACCAAATTCAACTCATCAACAACACACAATCAAGTGCTTGCGTCTGGTCTGGCAGCGAAGATGAAAATTGCGTATACTTTTCAGATATATGCAGATTGACCAACAGGGAACCCTCATATGGAAATGTAGGTCTCCAACTGCACAATTTTACAGTTTCTGTTCATATTCAATAACCTATTCCACAAACCTAACACATTCTCATATATAACATGTTTCAAGTCATTGATGCCTTCTCAGAAAAGAAATTGGCACTCCAACCAACCATTGAAGAATTTGAGAAAAATGATCTAGTCTTTGCAAGCAATCCATACGCAGGAAGATCTTACGTTTTCTCAACACTCATCAATGTAAGAACTGCAAAATTTTCTACTTTCTTAACATGTCTTACTACATAGTTTTATAACATATTTCAAACATATATATAACTTACAGACTCCACTACAAAACCAAGATCAAGCACTAAGAGAAAAAATGATGGACAACCATTTTCCAGAAACAATGAAAAACAGATATATCCATTTCCCAATCAACCACGATAACCATTGGACAATTGTGATTTTTGACAATGCTGATGGGATATGGAGACACTATGACTCTTTGAGACCAGCAAAAGATTGCCACAACAAGCACTTTGAAATTGCAAAGGAAATTGTAAGTTAAAATAAAATTTCATACTTAGTTCCATTCCTTTACAAACATCTCAACTCATCACTATAACTAACAAAAACACCCACTAACTATTTTGTAGCAACAACATCAACTCAGATGGAATAAAGCATTACTCAGCAAACAGAGAAACATGTTATCATCTCAAGAGTACAAGACAGAAATTGTATCAATTGAGGAATGCCCACAACAAACCCCACACTCGTAAGATACAAAATCCATAAACTAATCTTCCAATATGCTAAATTTTGCAGTTTCACCTAACTAATTAACTTCATCTCAAACATTGCAGGAATGATTGTGCAATTGCCGTCTGCAATGTTATCAACCAATATCTCAACTGGCAACCTGTGCAGAAAAAACTTCGTCCAACTGAGTGGGTCAAATTTCGAGCACAAATCATCAATCAATTCCTCAATGATGAGAACCGATCTTGGAAACTCGAGCACTACCAAATGTTGACAAAACATACCAAACCATAGAAACAATGAACAAACTTCTTAACAATACAAATATTCAAGGGAACATATCTTTGAACCTTTTTTTTATTTTTTTTTATTTTTCTTTTTTAACATGTGACAAGTACTTTATATACTTTTGGGAATGATCTTTTTCTGAAAATTATGTAGTTTCATCAGGTTGTTTTTAATAATTCTTAAAACTGCAAAATTATGCAGTTTCATCAGGTTGTTTCTTATAATTCTTCAAACTACAAAATTATGCAGTTTCATTACTCAAACAAAATTTATGCTACACAATTATGCATCCAATTTCATGACTCAACAAATAGATGAATTACATTTCAAAATTGAAAATAAAACTGCAAAATTTACAGTTTTCTCGCTATAAAATATGAAATAAATGAATCATGTAGTAAAACTGCATTTCAATATTATACAGTTTCAATAAGAAATTTTCAACAACCTTCTGTGCATTCCATAAAAATAAAACCAACCAAACCCACAAAAAAAAAATAACAATAAAAAACAAAACAAAACTGTTACAAAACAACTTCAATAACTAAAAAACACATCAAAAAACAAAAAACAATTCAACCAACTTTATTCATTACTTCCATAATACCAAGTATCACATTTTTTATTATCATAATTCCTCAAATTCAAATACAAATCCAAAAGAATAGACTGTGGTCTCAAATAGTAGCATCGCACATCTTCTTATTGTGATTTCCATATTTCAAGCACCTCCCACACTTGATTTGCTTCACATTCTCACCCCTAGAAGGTATCCTCTTCTTCTTGTTTCGCCCGGGCTGCTTCTTCGTTATAGGAGGTTTGATAATCGAACTACTGGCACCATCAAAGACAAATCTCTCACTTGAAGGCACTGGATAAACAAATTCCTTGTATGACTCTCTAAAACAATCTACATGAAAAAATGGATCAATGAAATCATACACATCTCTACCACTACTACGCAAAGCATGCACAGCATGACAACAAGGAAAATAATTCAATTGCCATTCATGGCAAGAACAAGTCTGTCTACCAATATCAACATAAAAAGAAATAGAAGAATGAACCTCAAGCACATTATCACTAGCAACAATCACATTCCAAGACTTAGCTAGCTCCAAAGAGTCCACCAACTTCTTTTCCATAACAGGACACAATTTCGTAGTCCATCTTTTATATTCAGCTCTTCTATTCGACAATTGAGTCATGATTTGAACCCTAATCATATCAACCATACAAGTAATAGGCAACTCACGGGCCTTACCAATCCAATTATGTAAGACTCGGCAGCATTAGATGACATCTCACCATATCGTTTCCCTCTAAAAAATACATTCGCCCACTTATCATTTTGCAAACCATCCAACATACTATCAACTCTACCATTCCTAGCAATACGCCTCAATTTCTCCATATAATGTTGGAAAGAAGCAACCGTTGGCGCATAAGCACATTTAACTAATATTTTCATCAAACTCAGCTTATAGTTAGTACGAAGTCCCACTAATTTGTCAATCAAATTTCTCTTCAAATGATTCAAGCAATATGCATGATGTGCATTGGAAAAAACCACTGAAAGAGCGTCTAGCAATCCATGTTGACGGTCCGACACAAAGGTCAATCTCCGGCCTGAACTAACACCCTTTAACAACTGACTTAAGAACCACATCTAATTATCTTGATTTTCAGCGTCAACAATCGCAAAAGCCAAAGGAAAAAGACCTGCAAACAACATAACATCAAACTGCAAAAATTACCATACTCACAATACAATAACACACTGACAAACCAAACCTATACTAACTGCAAATAAATACATACCTTGATTACCATCCTTTGATGTTGCTGCAAGCAAATGCCCCTTGTAACGCCCCTTCAAGAATGTACCATCAACAAACAACAACGGACGACAAAATTAAAAGTCATACAAACATCCATGAAATGCCACAAGTAACCTCCGAAAACACCCACTACGTTCATCCACATCTAATTCAAACACACTTCCCGGATTCGTTCTCATAGCCGTCTCAAGGTACCATCAAAGTTGGTCAAAAGAAGTTGCAAAATCACCAAACAACCCACCTCTTGCCTTATCAACTCCTAACCATGCAACCCGATAAGAAACATCTATACCATATTGTTTCTTCAACTTTTTTTTAACTTCAATAGGACGAGTCAACGGATTATCACTAATATTATTTTGCACAATATCAGACACAAGTCTAGAACCAACCATTTTGCTACAAGATCTATGAGCCACAATCCCACAAGTATGCACATTATCCAACTTCATTATAAAAAAAAATACCGGAATTCATCAACACCCTTCCATGCACAAACCATTTACAACCCGTAGACGACTTCATCATACATTCATCAGTTACTCTTGTTGCATCGTTCTTCAAATAATTCACTGCAAAACCACACTCAACTGCATACTTATCCAATGCAATGTGGAATGATGGCACTTCACCTTTAAATTCTTGACCAACACTATGTATAATCCCCTTCCAACTAGCAGACAACAAAACTCTCTCTGGTTCTGGATAAAAACTAGGCAACAAACTACCAAAATCATCACAATAGTTAACCAAAGAACTCTCACCAATTACAGAATCAATCCTACAAGAATTATCATTATCAACCTCCACAATTCTCTTATCACCCACAGCAACATCAACAACATGACAACCACTACCACCTATCATTGACAGCATATTCCACAAATTATCATCACATTCAACAATACAATTAGAATATCAATACAATTAGAATATCCAGCAATAGAGAAAAACAAACAAAAGTTACCAACACTCAACTCCTTGAACTTCGCACATATTTACTCAACAACTTCATCATAACTACGTCCCTCACTAATCTTAATAGCAGCACAACAATTACTGTATTTGCACATTAACATGAAACACCCCTCCATACTACAAAATCACAAACCAACAAACAATTGTTCACAGATTCCAAACTGCAAAATTATACAGTTACAACATATCAGTACCAACACTGCACAATTCATAATTCCAAACTGCAAAATTATACACTTACAACATATCAATATCAAAATACCAGAATTCACAATTTCAAACTACAACTTCAAAACACATTACACTATACAACAAACAAAATCAACAAAATCAAAATCATTACACTATATCACATACAAAAATCAAATAAAATAAATATCAAACAAACAAAATTTATCACAAAACAAAGAACTAAAACAACATTGCCAAACACAAACCAGATATCACGCAAATTTGCTTATCTATATATACATACATATATGTATACACACACAGAGATATATATATGTATATGTATGTATCGACAGATACATACATACACATACATATATGTATCGACAGATACAAACCAGATACACAAAGAGAGAGAGAGAGAGAGAGAGAGAGAGAGAGAGAGAGAGAATGTACGCAGAGATCGTCTGTACACAAAGATTCAGATCGCACAACCAGATCCACCTCACAGCACAATGAGATCGACCACACAGCACAATGAGATCGCTATAACGAAGAGAAATTGAGATCGCAGAGACTAAGATTTGATTTTCTTTTTTAAACGGAGCAAAAATTTGATTTTTCACGTATATATAGATCTCAAAACAAAGGGTAATACAGTCATTTACAAAATACGAAAATAAAAAACGGGACCTCTGGGTATAAAACTTAAAAACTGTGGACCTATTAATCTATTAAAAATATATTGGGATTAGAAGGGAAATAGATCCCCTACATAGGACTACATAGTAATTTTCCCTTTTAAAATCTAATATACTATTAACTAATTTGGGCCCTATTTCGATCCCAAATCTAGGGGCCCAAAAAACCGTCCTTCTTGCCTCTCCCCAGACCGGGCCTAGAATAGGACAATGACCCTATTAAGTCTTGTTTATCAATTTTACTTTTCGGCTAAGAGAAAAAAGGGGGAAAAAATCACAAAGTTAAAAAAAAAAAATTTAAATTCAAACAGTTAAAAACAAAAATTGAAATAAGTTCTTGAATTTTTTCTATACAAATAAAAAATATCATTTTTAAACCCATTAATTTTTTTCACCGCATAAAAGAGTCAAAAAAAAAAACTTATTAAAAAAATTACATCCCAAACAAGGTTTGTATCATTATATCCAATAATATTCCCTCAGCATGAGGTTGGACATACCCATTCTTTGATTTTTCCTTGAGCCCATAATCTGCCTTCTATTCCCTCCATAATCCTTTTGTCAAGCAACCAAGTTCCATTTTGACGTACCATATTGTAAGCCCTAACCACGTCATCAAACCTAACAAAACCAGATCAAGCACCCATGTTTTTACTTTAGTTTTTAAGTTGGCATGTAGAGTAGACATTGGTAGGGCGGGTTGAACTGTGAAAGCGGACCCTAAGATCCTATGAAGCACGGGTACTCCAAAAATAATGCCGTATGAGTACCGGGTACGTACCAGGTACCGGTACGCGTACCGGTACGGCTGCATGCGTACCGGGTACGGCCAAAGAGGGTCTGGTACGTTTGGTATATTTGGATACGGCATGGGTACGCCGTGGGTACGGAAGGGTACGCCGTGGGTACGGAAGGGTACGCCGACTTAACCTAACTTTAATATATATAGGTTCGAAACAGAGAGATATGGGTTCGGAGAATGGGTTTGGGAAGAGTGAACCGAGGGTGAATCAAGAAGGAGTAGTGGTAGTGGATGAAGGGCAAGGGGAGTCGAAGAAGGAAGGAGACTCATTCTTCGCCGTAGATGGCAGCGAAAGACGGCAACAGTGGTTCAGGTAGACTTCGATCTAGATCTAGATCGGCCACAACCACCCCTCTGTTTCTCCTTACACTCTTCATCTCCATGTCTTCGACATCAACTCTCTCTTCTTAACAAATCTCCTCAACATAGATCTGATGAAGGAATGGAAAGAATAGGTGAGGTTTGACGAAAGAGAGAGAAGACCTGACCTGAGAAGCGGCACCGTGACCAAAATGCTGGATCTTTGAGATGTTGGATCAGACCTCAGGCTCAGCTTCTCCTCAGATAAA